CCTCCTCTAATGTAACTGCATTACTTCTGGACTAGGAAAGTAACCCCGTGGTCAGACACCTTTCAATGACAAAGCCAAGAAAAAATATTACAGAAATTTATTGTAAGTTTTTATTCTGTTAACATATAATTACATTGAAGTGGTACATTCATGTACTTTTTTGTTTATTCAAAATTTGTTGTTCAAAAGCGATTGTTTTGTCTTTGCTGTACTTCCTGTCTAGAAAGGCAGCAGTGCACACATCTTATCAGCTGTGTGTAAACTGTTTGTAAATAGCAAATAAAGAAAGTGGCTCAACTTAAAACTATTTACCCTCAGTTCAGTTATGTTTGTAAACCATGCATATTAATGAGATGCACTAGTTGGGTGTACACTGGATAAACAAAAACTTGGTCATTTGTTTGCACACAAGAAAAAAATCAGTTTACTTGTACAAGATATTTTTTTTCAATAAAATAAAAACACCAATGTATGTAGCATGCCTTAGGGAGCTATTCGTGTGATTTTCAAAAAAAAAATGTGAAAAGTGCCCAAAAAACTATTCTGCTACCTTAATGTCGGGAATTCATTCTTTTATTTCGATTGTTTATACAAATGTTTATGTCAGAGTTTATATTGATCCTAAGCTCAGGTAATCTTCACCCTTGGTCACACACCTTAATCCTTGCAGCTGGCCACTCAGTAATTAATATTTACCTTGTACATTCTTTGTTGCGCAACCATACCGACACATTATATCACAGTCCCTCTATAGAGCAGTCAAACCGTATACCTCGAGTTGCCTAAGTATTTACCACTTATTCCTTTAACCTACCCGCTACTATACGATCTACCCATACGAGCCGCACACTTACAACACAAATTTGAATTAAAAAAAGATGGCGACTTTGACTGTTGAGAGTTAGGTATTTTTTAGGTGATTGGAAGGTATCAAATTAGTCACCGGGGGGGGGGGATTAGTGCAAGTCGCGTGCAGGTCAAAACTCATACTTGTGATTCCCACTTGAAGAGCGCATTGGATTGTGGGAAAATCAATGTGTATCGACACAAATGTCGCACATGCGCGGCGCGACGATCACCGCCCTTTAATGCATTTATATGAACTGAATATGAAACGGACAGTTTTTACCGGCCGTCGCTTTTGTTGCTTAATTTGGCTTGTTATGGAGGGTTGGCCATGCTGCTTGACACACGGTTCCGTCAGCTGCTTCTTCTGTCATTATTCCAAATAAATAGCGAAAATCCGACAAAACAGTACAGTTATAAGTATTATAAAATCATTTTAATCTGGTTTGTATATCTTTCCATGTACCGTAATTTGGTTCCATATTACATGCATTTAACGTTATAGATTTCCCTTTCTTAGTAATAAAGCTCAGACTACTACTATAGTAGTCTGAGGGAAAAGGCAACAACATTTCATGCCATTTTCTGTTTACAATAATTAGTGTACATGCTATATAAGTTACTGTAAAGGGGGTAATTATTCACTGGGTTTTAATTTAGCTTATTTCGCTGACTGGAAAAATGCGCTAAATTAAAACACAGTGAATATGTAAAATTTAGCATAGATCACATTATCTAAATGATAAAACCGTGAATTTAAAACCCACTGAATATGCCTGAAATGGTAAATCAGTGAAATTTAAACCCAGTGAAAATTAGTCATTTTACAGTATATTGACATTTAACGGTTCACGTTGTCTCGTGTATGTGATTCAATCAATGACACCTCTCCTCTTTGTTGTACGTATACGATAACTCGCGATTTTCAAATATTTACTTCTTTTTATCGTCGTAGGTTTCAGTGATGTAATGAGTTACAGGAGTACTTTTAGTTACATCCGGGTCACTTTTCCCATATGCTTCAGTCGTTATGACGGCAGCTATTGGAAGCAAAGATAAATTAGCAAGATCAGCTACTTTAAATAATACAGACATTGGCATATTAGTTTATTATGAATATTTATTGCTTAGTGAGACAAAGTGCACGTTATTTATTACTACTCATCTTGTTTTGATTAGTCTAAATATCATTTGTGCTACATAAGGCCAAAAAAAAAAACTTATGTTGCCCTGAAGTCGGAAAATTGAAAATCTGGGTCAGTCGGACGATTTTTTTTTTAAACTCATGAAAACTATGGGTATCGTAAATAGCCGAGGTATATGGGAATCAATCAAACGCATGCTAGATATTAAACACAAAAATCAAAGTGTTTCTTTCAATCTTTTTGTATTTAAATACAGGTCAACCCGATGTTCAAAGTCGCTACTTATCCCCCCCCCCTCCCGGGGGACCCCTGGGATAGAACAACGGTCCGGGATAGTTAATTTTTAGAGGAAATACTTTTTTACTGCTTAAAATGGTGAGTTTTTAATATTTGGGCCTATTAAAAAAAAAAAAAAAAAACGCGACCCGATATTTCATACTTTTCGATCGGTCGCTGAGGGCAACAAAAAATTTTTTTGGCCTAACGTATATATCAATATAATTGGCCCCAAATTATAGATAACTAATGCAATGTGTAAATCGGTATCTATTAATTTAAAAACACATGTCAAAAAAGACACGGGGATATTGCTACCGTGACTAGCATCTAGTTCATGCTGCGCAACAGCATATTTTAGCGTCTCCTTTCAATGTATCTATCAGTTGATGCTGTTGCCATTCGGGTTGTATGATATCAGTAGGACTCACCTTTGCAGTCACTGAGATCAATACTGCTATTGTGATATGTCGTGAAACCACTTGGACACAGTTTACAATCAGTTGATCCGAACTCGTCTTGATAATATCCCAACTGGCAGGCAATGCAAGTAGTCTCATTCTGTGGCATGTACATCCCTCGTGGACACGTGACTTAATGGGGGGTGGGGTAATAACATGGATTGAATTATACAACATTTATTATGTTATGAATATTTAGTATGTTGCGACTGATAGTTCAACACCAACGACTAAAGTAAATAATGGGCAAATTCATTGTGATCTTGTTATATGATTGTTGTTATCGATTTAGAATCAATGCAGTAAAAACACAGTAATGTCATTATAGTCATTCTCTGTGGTGAGGTAACCAATCTAGTTTTTTGAATTATGAATCTCGGTTGTAAAGTATTTTTAAAATTGTTTTAAATTACCGATAATATAAATCTTCAAGCTACGCGGAAATCGCAATGTCGTTGTTTCCAATGAAACACGTGTGGTTCCTTTCTTTGAACTTTACACATTTTCAAGTTTACACGTTAACCTCGGGTCATTTTATTTGAATCACACTTACCACATACTTCTTCCTCAAACTGCTCATACGATTTCAACTCTGTGCCAGGTGGGCACACGCCATTGCTTCCCAGGTTTGAATACTCTGTAGAAACAGTGTGGATATACACTTATTAAAAACGACGCTTGTCGTGCAGACCAGGACAATTCGAGTTAGAATGGCCAAACACGTTGGGAATGTCAAAAACCCGATATATTGACACAAATGAATAATACGGATGGATCGGAACAAGTACAAATTGACGGCCTAGTCACATGGGCCCAATATTTAGTCCATGTATGTCACACAAGCTTAGTTGATAATCCTGTATATAACACACAATGATATCCCGCAGGAAACAATATCATATTATGGCTGGTCACCC